TCACTTGTCTCAGGTCCCTCAGCTGGCACATGGTGGAAACCAGGCACAGGCAGTCTGAATGCAGAGTGCACATCCTTCTGGTGATAAGAACCGACCTTGGCCAGTTCTTGCTCTGCCTCGGGCCCCAGTGGTCTCATCTGTACAATAAAACCTCTCAGCTGACAGCCAGCTCTAACTGCCAGGCACATGAGCGCACCATCCTGGGTGCTCTGGCTCAGCTGGGCCCCTGGAAATGCCGAGTTGGGAGAGATAATAGAATGGAGTTATTTTAAGCCATTTGTTATACAGCAATAGGTAAGTAAAACAGCCGTGAGAAACATCTATTGAGTGCCTGCTGTGAACTGGACACTGCGTTAGACACTAGAAGAAGCTCAGGATCTGTCTCTGGATTCAGAGTCTGGTGGGGACCTTTAACTTCCTCCTAAATTCGGTCTGAACTGGCCAGGCAGTGGCAGGTACTATCTTTCCACGGATGGCCTCAGCAGTGAGGATGATGCTCTCACAGCTGCGCAGAGAGGCAAGGCGGGCTGGCTCCCAGTCAGGGCAGCCCGGGAAGCACGGCATGCAAGGTCCTCCTCCGTGCAGTGTGCAGGAGGTGCTAGGGACCCCTCAACCGGTGGGCAGTGCATGGCCTCATGTAAGTGGGGATGGCAACCAGCGTTGGGGGCCTACAGGGGAAAGGAGAAGAGAGGCTGTTAGCAGGGGCAAGGGCAAGACTGACTACATGCCAGGGAGAAGGTGGTAAGGGCCGGGGGCAGGAAAGACTGCACGTTCTGGCCCAAATACACACACTCGGGGCCTGGCAGGAGCTGCCCCTGCGGCCTCAGTTCTCCTGTCTCTGCACCCCGCCCCTACCCCAAGTGTTCACCAGCCTCCTCAGCTCTTTCTGCAGGGCAAGTCCTTCTTACTCCCTCCCCCTTCCCTGTGGGTCAGTCCCTCTTGTCCCTTGAGACTCCTCTGGGAAGCATGCAGTAGGTGCTTAAGTGTTCTCTTCCTCTCATGGTTTTGGAGATCTGAGAATACAGAACTTCTACAAAAATGACGTTTTCTTTTACTTTTAAAATGAAAGGGAGGCGTTTAGTTTCTTCATTCAGTTTCACCTGCATGAAGCTGCTACCTTTTCAGCAATGAGTCTTAGTTACATTAACATTACTTTTAGAAAAAGGTAATCTTGTGTTAGTGATCCGTAAATGTATTCTCTTTGGCATCTTTTAAAGGCAGTAAAATTATACGTTGAAATGTTAAACATATAAGAAACAAGCCAGCAATGTAATGCCCCAATGAATCCTGAAAATTTATTATTTGGGAGAATATCAGATATTGATCCTTTGCTTTGTAGATCATGATAATAATCAGAAAATATACATTTTAAAATGACAGTCAAGAGAATAATTACATATAATACAGACTACAGGTACTTTATTTGTACATAAGCAAAGCAGTACTAAAAGCACATTTATGTGTCCACAATGCGTGAACGTGGCAATTTTGTGTTTAAAGCTGCAGCAACTCAAATCCTCCTTGGGTCAGTGAGGAAAGACAGACTGAGAAATACATCTAGGGCTAATCCCGTGTCTGGCTGTAAACCTATTTTTTAATCTTTCCCTTCCCCCCATATATATGTGTATATATATATATATATGTATATACTTTATTGCCTTTATATTTCTGCTGGTTTAATATAATTAGTATACTAAATAGTAATCTGCATTTATTTGGTTTCTAAAAATATATAAAATGCATTGGAATAGAGCTCCTGCAGCTTTCAAGCAGTCACTGTCCTGGCATCGAAAGCTTATTCTGGAAACAATAAGTAAAGCAGCAATACTGAATAAATAGTGATTGTTTCGTCTTCTCCATACAGCTGATGGCCTTCACCCAAAACATAAAAATACTGTAGCAAATAGTATAAACATGCAATTAAAAAAATGGACATAATATAAAAGTAATACTTATGAGCAAAAATTTTATACAATACAGATTAATAAAGACAACTTAGCAGGTAGAAGAGGGATGTGAACACAGCACTGTTATTTACATATAAATTAAGGCCCAATTTTTCAAAGGCAATACACACAGGGAACTGCCCACCTGCCTGTCTCCTCTGCACACTGAAATCAAGAGTGTTTGCTTTTTCCACATTATTTCCTCAATCCATTATTATAGTTCTAATTTGGAAAGATGTTCACAGGAAAGATTTTAATGACATTTCTTGTTTTGCTCTTATTCACAAAGAAAATTTTCTTTTAATGCAGGTAAAAAAATTTACTTGTGGTCTGGACACAAATGCTTATTTGCTTTTCTTAAATACTGTTAAAATTCACATTTTATACTACAAATCCTGTATTTTTACCCTATGAGTCTTGTTTGAGCTCTAGTTTATGACTAACTATGATACATTTAACTGTGGGAATTGATGATTAGTTTAGAGATGACTGAGGGAATTAAATGGGTAACTCCATTTAATAACAACCAAAGCCTCAAATATAAATTCCCTGTACATCAAGACAACATATAAATGCTAATAAACCAAAGTATCTCATAAGAACAAAAACAGAGCTGTGGCAATCCACTACCGATCATTCTGAGGATGACAGATACTCAAAGGGTCATGCATACCAATGCTATTTCAGATTATTCCTTGGTAAAAAAAAAAAGTATCTTCTAAGGTATTTAATACTTGTAGAAAAATCACAATAAAAGAACGTGCAGTATCATAACAAAGAACTTGTCACCTAATTTAGTATTTAGAACCTGAGTATTCCCCAGATACAAAATTTGATATTTGGCATTTTTGTTTACCACTGCCCGCCCCGCACAGCGGCGCATCCGAAGACGTGGTGCCTAATCAAACTCATCTGTATTCACAATGGATCAAAATGATTAGGAACAACTGAAATATTTTTAAGATGTTCCAAAAAAATGAGTTTTCTTTGCATTATTTTTTAAAAACTTAGAAAATATTTCTTAGAGGTGTGCTTCCAGAAGGAATATAACTGATTAAAAAGCACAGCTGCTCAGTGTATTCATCCAATTCATGTGTACACACTTGTCTCATTTACAAAATAGTCTTTTTGTTTGTAATTACATCCATAAAGACTATATGGCAGCCAGAAAACTCGGGTGAAGCTGACAGAGAGGTACCTGTGATGCGAGGCTGGAGCCCCAGACTGCTGCCAGGTGGAAGGCAGACTGCCTGCCTGTCCTCTTTACAGCTGGGAGATTAATGCTGGTAACAATGTACAGCAGGTAATCTGGACACCGACTCTGTGTTTCTCATGGCATACCAAGGCATCTTTTCAGTTTATAATAGCAAAGTTCAATGTATCTTCAGTTTAACTTTTTGATTTATATAGAATGTGATCAATTTATAAAAATATTTTTCTTTGTGAATAAGATCACAATTTCTCTGAATAACAGTAATAAAATGACTCTTAGTATAGGATGGTACCCTTTAAAAATAAGGCATATATCAGGCATACATAAATCATTATTGTCACAAAATCTACAAATTATTTTGATTTTTTAAATTCTCGTTTTTATCATGTGTACATATGAAATAACTACTATAAATTGAGAGGAAATGTATATAGGTTGTGGTTATTTAGGTAAGAATCATTTATTTCTCAAGTTATTTGCAAAGTAGTATAATGGCAAGTTCAACTCAGTAACTCCAAGAACCCAAAGAAAATAATATCTTTAGTTGAGGTCTGCCATTTAGCTGGGCTACAAAAGGCAACTCTGCATTATTACTTTCAATTCTCTAGAAGCTTCTATATATTTTCATAGCCATTCTTATAATTTTCCATTGGAAACCTAAATATAGCAGCATTCTCAGCATTCATTAAATCAAAAATAAGTCACATGTGTTAAAACAGCCAAAGCTGCCCTCATGCATAAGCTACAACTTACATCTTTTTACTGTCACCATGGCATTAATACACTAATCCAGTGCTACTTTGATGCATGTAAATAATACAGGGAATGTATTTTCCTCGGAATTAAAAGTTACACATTTCAGAAAAAGGTCTTAATTATATTGTACCAAATTTTGATCAGAGGGAACATAAAAATGGCTAAGAGGTATCTGACCACATCCATTTAGATATTACTTGTGAATTTTAGTTAAATCACTACTCATGGGAGGGGAGCTGACTTTTTGGTTTTACAAATAAGATAAATGTACAAATGAAGATTAATGTCTTATAAAGTAAAGCTCAGAAATGAAAACAAATACTGATTTTAGCTTTATTTCCTTGGCAAAAAGTACCAGATTCAACCCAGTTTCTCTCTAAGTGATGGAAGAAATCACCATAGTCCATAATTTACAGAGTACACCCACGGGTGCCTTACACCAAAAGATCATACAAATGAGCTGGGTTATTTTAGGACACACCACTTAAAGCGACCTTGCTGAAATGAAGTAGACTGAGCTGGTCCTCAGATGCCTCTAATTTATGCATGGTGGCAACTGGGGATCCATGAGAGTGAACAGATAAGGCAGGGCAGAAACATCACACAGTGGTGGACTAGGAACCGCCTGGCCCGTTGGGGTCTTCAACCCTCACATCTTTGTTCAACAGTGTCGGAAGCACTGCAGACCTTTTAAACATACATGAGTTACCTCATGAAAATATTTCTGTTCTGGTATGTGGCCATTTTATATGAAAATACTGTAAAGAAAAGATTAAACTTCGGATTAGAAAGAAAACCTGAGTCATTTCACCCAGTCGAATGGCGGCTAGGACAAGTTCATGGGCCAAATGCGAGTGGGCCCTGCAGGGGCTGGTTCCGAGGGAGGAGCAGCCTCAGCGCTTGCTCACCAGCAGCTCGAGGTGGGGGTCTGGCCACGTGCGCATGGGCACAGAATCACACAGCATCAGAATCACATGGTGTGTAATGTAATTCCATCACAAGATAAGTGTCACTAACAAATGTTACAACATCAACATTCACACATTAATTGATTACATGGAATAAATTAAACTAAGCCAGTCATGTATTTCTCTTCACTCTTTTAAGTCACGGTTTTATTTATGTATATACATGGTATAATACTTTCCTAATGCTCTCAAAATGCTACGGATAAAAATGAAGGCTTTGTATTACAGCTGTTGGATAAAAATGTCAACACTGTCGATGTGTGAAAACACAGTTTCTTTGTTCTTTAGCGTCAGTGCACAGGGTATGGCTCCGAGTGGCATGGAATTTAGGACAAAAGAAGACATGGTGGCTTGTGAAGCGGGTCCTCTGTTCATCATTGGCACAAATCAAAGAAAGAATTTCTACTGTCCCTGGTACCTTTATTGGGTCACTTCCCGAAAGACAGATACTGTTATACATATATGCCTTCAGGGTTAAAGCCGGACGAGATGGGATTCTGCAGGGTACGAAGGTTGCTGGGGAGCTGCCGAGACGAGCCGGGCCGCTTCAGGGAGCCCGACTGGAATGGTGCCTCTGGAGAGGAAACAGAGAGCCGTTTGAGGGACGCACCGACTCGCAGTGCCAAGCAGTAGGAAAAATGAGGATTTTTCTTGGCCTAAAGAATCAAAGAACGCGTAGTGACAGTTGCACACCGGCCCCTGTGGGTCCTGGGGGGACAGAAGGAGGCCGACTCTGCTTGACCCTCTCAGTTGACAAAGCAAGATTTTGGTGATTTGAACACTTAATGATCTTTTAAAGCAAGTGAGCGATTTTCTTCTCTTCCGTGGTTGTGCAGGCCGTATCCATGCACCAGTTCAGAAGTGTCTTTTAAATATCGGCTCAAATTTATTAGTTTTAGGAGAGGAAGGAGGGGCATTAGAAACAGAGAGAAACTAAAACAGACACTCAGACAGACTCGGACTCACAGACACTTCAGGAAAGCAATATAATAAGATTTGGTGATATCATGCTCATTTAAGTAAATAAATAACTTAAATATTAATTTTCCCCAGAAATAAATACATCAAACAATTTTTTTTAAATGCCCCAAGAATTAGCTTTGAATGGTTAGGACAGCACTTTCACTGAATGCAAGGAACTTATGCAAAGTTAACGGGTGAGAAGTCGGGGGGGGGCACATTTCTGGACATCTTACCCCTTTCTACGTCAGCATGCGACGCCTCCACGTCGATGGGCTCCGCCGGCAGGACGGTCACTTTCGTGCCTGTCTGCTGGATGAACTGCTGGAGATTGACCTGCCGCAGCTCTTTAGTCAACTGCTCCAGTTCTTGTTCTTTGTCCTAGATAGAATTTTTTTTAATTTGAGGATTCAGTATTGGCCAGCTAAAAGGCATCCTGCGGACAGTCCATCTGCTCCGGGGGTTCGGTGTGGGGTACTCCCATTCACGGGGACACATTTAACCAATCTGGCTTACAGCAGCAATACCGTAGGCTAAGGAGGTCACTTGCGTGTGGCAAGGGCCAGAAAATAAGCAGATAAAGGGCAGTCTGGCTTCTTAAATGTGATGCTTTCTTCAGTTAGGGATACACTATGTACCCGATGAACTAAATATGATTATGTCAATAAAATACTGGTTTCCAGCCATTCCAGAGTTTCATAGCAATCTTGCAAAGCTGTTAACAATGAAATTTCCCTATTAGCCACTTCAGAACTGGTGGAAAAATGAATAGTCATTTGGTCCAAGAGATTTGGAGTTCTTGTGTTTTGTAAACTGTTTAAGTTCTCATGAGATTGGTGACTGAGATTTATAGCCCAGTGTGAAGAGAGTAGGATTCCCACGGGAGTCTCACTACAGACAGGGTTTTAAGTCTCTGAAGAAGGCAGTTTTGAGCACTGCGGAGCCCTCGGGAAAGGAGATCAAGTTCGGACAGCTGGAAAGGTCTAAAAAGCAGGGAGAGGCATTCATTCTATGATTTAAATGAATTTTTCTCCTCCTCCTCTCCTTTCCTGTGCTATAAGAAGTGCCAAGGCCTCACCTAGGCTGTGTGTCTGAGGACCCAGTAGGGGTAGGGAGGCACTGAGGCAAAAGGGGTTGTTTAAGGGAGTCCGTGGAGATATGTTACTAGTTTGATTAGGTATCTTTCACTGGGAAGTGGGATTACTAACAGTGATTGTGATAAATTAGTGTTTCCTATCAATAATCTCAAGGGCAAGAAAATTTCCAGTTGTACCCTTAAGTGTCAGAATGAATCCAAAGAGTAAAATACTGACGAATCAGAGGTTAACCTTTGCTGAGTGAGAAATTCCTGATTTTCAAAATTGGAGGGGAGGGTAGTTTATCTCTCTCTCTCTCTCTCTCTCTATATATATATATATAAAAACATCAGTTCTTCTGGAAACCTTAGGTTTCTCTGCTTCCTGAATGGTGCACATTTCGAAGCAGTTCTTTTCACACTTCAGTGTGCACAGGTACCATCTGGAGATCTCGCTGTAGCACAGACCGTGAATTTCTAACAAGTGTGCCCGGGAGCCTCACGGCTTTGAGCAGCGAGCTGGCGAAGCAGCACTGTCCAGCGCAGCAGGACTGGGCACATGCTGCAGGGCTCTAGAAACACAGCCAACTGAGACCAAAAGCAATTTTACATTTACTTAATATTTGTAAACTGCCTCCCTGAGTATCATTTAATTTTAATCAATTTAAATTTAAGTAGCCACGTTATAATCAACTCTGTCTTTCCCACGTCAACTCTTAGAGCCCGATGCCTCTTTGCAACTCCTGCAATATCACCACATCTTCTCTCCAAGAATGGGAATCCGAGAAATGGAAGCTGAGCCATCAGGGCGTATGTGATGAAATACAAATGTTCTTATACTCTGGTGTTAGAGTGGGGAAAACATCAGGGAGGGGCCTTTGTGCCCCCTGCTAGAGAAAGCAAAGGAGAAGACCGTGGGCAGGGAAGAAGGGAAGGGGAAGAAGAAGGGCTCAGAGACAATGGGGCAGTGAACAGATAAGCAGCCAACTAGCCACACGATCCTTGGTAAACCAATCCTTGGTAATCTCTTTTGGCTTTGGGTTTCTCTGTCTCTAAAAGGAGGAAGTCAGATTCTCTACCTCATCATTAGTGTCCACTGCAGCTGGAATTCCAGTCTCCTATGTCCAATTATCTAATGCTCAGCTGCCACGGTCAGACCGCTCCTCCCAAGGAGCAAAGATCACTGTGCCTTTGGCTGTCATCTTTGTTTTGGCCTCACGTCTAAGCTTTCTGGTAAGCCACAAGAATGCTAAAACAAAAATTATAAACTAAGGAGGGTGTCTAACTTTGAATGTAAGAGAAAATGGACAGTCACTAGAGATGTCCAAAACATAACAATTCTCTTAAATACAGATAAAACATTCTCTTTATAAAAGTGCTCTTACCTGTAATCGCTTGGTGGCTTGTCCAAGAGACCTCTCCACAGCTTTAATGCCATTTTCCAGCCTCAGACTCTGCTGGCCTTGAATGTCAATTTCCCCTTTGACCTTACCGATTTTTCCTTTAACCTCTTCTTCATTGACTTGTGCCTCCTGGACTTCGCGTTGCAATTTTTCTGCCTCAAGACCGCTTTCCATAGTCTGGATCTGAGCCAAATAGTCCTTTAATTTGCTCTCACATTCTGTTATTTTCTGTCTGATTTCTTGAAGTTGATCCTTCAGCTGTTTTTCATTTTCCTGTTCAATCTGCAATTCATTTTCCCAAAATTCTTCCTCTTCAATTTCTACATCATTTCTTTTGATCTTTTGCTCCAGGCGAACAATTTCCTCTTCAAGGTTAGAATTATATTTTTGCTCCCAAAATCTTATTTCTATTTCATTTGATTTTAGCTCTTTCTCCATAGACTGAAGCTTCTCTGTCTGCAAATGGATCAGCTTCTTTAACTCATCTGCTGTTGTTTTGCAGTTATTCAGCACCTTTTGCTTAAATTCAGTTTCTTTACCCTTTCCGAAAATTTCCATTAATCCTTTGGCACCTCCTGTAAATGTTAATGACTTTCTTTTAGGTTCTCTCCGCTTGATTGATTTGTCAATCTGAGGCCTCAGTTTAGCTAAGGGGGGCAGACTCTGCCTGTATAAAGTTCTTTCAGGAATTCGAGCCACACTATCTGAGGTGGGTCGCTCACTGAGAGACGGCCCTGTCCGACGTAAAATAAGCTGTACGTCACTCGCATACTGCCCCCATTTGTTTAAGGATATGATAGGGTTTTCGTGAGGTGCCAAATGTCTTTCGGTATCTCTCCATTTTTCTATTAGAGTGTACCTTCCAGTGCGACCTAGATAAAGAAGATAAGAATAAGCTGTCAAAATGGCACATGCAATAGCTAAAATAATGAAACAGAGGGTGCTGTTTGAAAATCGTGCCTTCTTGGTTAGCATCAAGGTCCAGCCCATGCTGCCAGTGAAACTTTCACTTTGAAGGATGAACTCCTTAACACATTTAACAGCATAAACTTAGAGGATGCAAATTGTACATACTCCTCAGACTTGCTTAGAAATTCAACTTTATACTTTAAACCTCAGATACTTTAAAGTGTAAGATATCTTAAAGTGTAAGATACTTTAAATCTTACACTTCAGTCAAACGCCTGACTGCCTAGACCTTCTTGCTCCGGGCGAGACCTCCAGCTGAGGCAACAGAGGACAGCAGAATGCCCCATGCAAGCCGGGGGCCTGGTCCCAGGAACTAGGTAGAGTTTCAAAACCTAAGTAAACTTCCATTTTGTAAATCCTCTGCTTTTGGTGCACGTCAGGACTCAGGGAGGTTGGAGGCCCGCTTCTCCACCTGAAAGGAAACATGAAGCCAGCGGGGAACCTGCCACTCAGCTACCAGGCAGCTGGACAGGTCTTTCCTCTGCCCGTGAGAGCTTGGCAAACCCACAGTTCACACGACTGCATCTTCCTGCACGCCTGTGGCAAAAAAGAAAAAACCACCTTGCTAAGAATAACACTTCAAAGTAATTTAATATAAAAACAGGGGACTGAGGAGAAGTCTTGTTCAGTTTAGGTAGTAATAGCTTCAAAGATTCTTTTGGAAAATTTAAAAGGCAAAAATAGTATTAAAAACAAAATCAGAATAAAATCACATTTTAATAAAAAATATACTGAACCTAACTAGTAATTGTGGAAGATAAAGCTTCCGAAGACAATATAACACCATTAGTTTGGACATACTTCCTCAATACTTCCACTTAAGGTGATGGATTGGATGGATTATACTAATTTTGTTACAAGTGTCCATTAGACACCTGAAACTCATATAATGCTATATGTCAATTATATCTAAATAACAAGAAGTATCCATCAGTAGTTAATATTATTACAGAGACAAAAACTGTTCCTGCTATCCAGCAATTGTAGGTTTTTGTTTTTAATCCTTACTGAGGCAGATACGTTTATTGATTTTAGAGACGGGGAAAGGAAGGAGGGAAAGAGGGAGAGAGAGACACACACACACACACACTGACGTGAGAGAGAAACGTCAACTGGTTGCCTCCCATGTGTGCCCCAACCAGGGACGAACCCACGACCTTTTTGGTGTAGGGGATCATGCTCCAACTAACTGAGCCACTTGGCGAGTGCTTCCCTGCCTTCTTTTTCAATTTTATTAGCTTCTGAACCAACAGTAACTAGTATTTTCTCAATTACTGTCTCATTCAATGGAAACCTGGATACATAAATACAAACACCCATGTCTTCAATTCAGAAGCAGCACATGAAAAGCGATACTGCTTTGAGCATATGTAGTGTTGTCCTTTAAGGAAACCTGAATTGTAGGTGCAGCTGAAAAGTTGGAGCTTTGCAGGAAAACAGACTGGAGTCTTGACTGCAGGTAAATTAATTACTGGAGGTAGCATAATTTTACTTCTATTTGGGGACAGCAGCAGTACCTTAGAGGCTGTAAGAGTCAGAGTCAAGTGTAATAAGCACCTACCACAACACCTGGCCCATGGTCTGTAGTCAGCACATGGGAGCCAGTAAGTATTAAGGACATTGTTATTCACATAACAAAAGGGCTGACCAGGAGACCTCCTTTAAATAGGGATGTGACATGACATTCTGACTTTTAAAAAAATCCTTAAGCAACTTTCAGCAACTCCCAACCATGTAAAGCTGGACAGAATAGAAAGAACAAAAGCTCTGGAGTTCAAATCTGTCTCTGCCATCTGCTTACATGATTTGCACAAATTACTGCATTTCCTTTAGCTTCAGTTTCCTCATCAATAGGATGAGAGTATTTTCTTACCTGATGATGTTGTTGTGAGTCAAATGAAATGTAAAATAAAAAAAATGTTTTGTAAAACTGAAAAGTGCTACACAAATACTAGTTGTTATTATTATCAAAAATACCTGGGCAAACAAAGGGAAAGAAAAAGAAAACTTTAGCATATTAGATTGGCTTCCTGAAATCTAACTGGTTTCTAATAATTTTCAGGTTAAAATTACTGGAGTCATCAGCCCCAGAAAAGCCACATGACAAACCTGCCAGGTACACGCTGCTTCACAGACCACAGTGCTCCCTGTTCTCGGCTCTGTGTTCTTGAACTACTCTCAGGCTCTCTCTCCTGCCACTGGACCTCTGTGTCCTCATCGGGAATAGGAGGGGTCAGACTAGGTCAGTTGAGGCCCCTCTAATTCTACCAGGGCAATAAAGGATCTCTAAAAAGAAAACTCAGTCATATTATAATACAAGCTAAGTTAAAAACTTTACAGACTCTAATTCAGTCATAATTAAATGTGAAGCTGATTTTTCCAATGCTTAGTGGTATGCTGCCCTGTAAGAATGTAGAAGATTATTTAGAATTGCTTTTACTGCCAGTTTCCCCTTTTTGTTAAATAATGCATATTTAGTGCAATTAGGCAAAAAGAAAGAAAAAAATCCATCCAGCAATATAAAAAAGATTTTTCTTAAAAAGGTAAATGAATAAACAGCTTTGACTTTTGTTACAGAAATTGGCTTTTAGGTAGTTTACATAAAAATTAAATCCCATAATCACTTTTTCAAAAGATTCTATTTTTGGAAAGAGGGAGAGGAAGAAAAAGAGGGAGATAAACATTGATTGGTTGCCTCTTTTGTGCCTCCAATGGGGCACCTTGCCCACAACCCAGGCATGTGCCTTGACCTGGAAATGAACCAGAGATATTTTGGTGTGTGGGATGATGCCCAACATACTGAGCCACACAAGTCAGGGCCCATAATCATTGTTTTTAATATCAATCCTTGGCCAGGCCCTACAGATCCTGGTTAATTTACATAGATTCAAATTTCTCCCGCAAAACTCCTTTTAGTGCATTTTATTAAATGAATTCATTTAGTTCTGCCTTGCATACTACCTTGATATGACCTTAAAACTAATAAAAAGGACTATCTATCTATCTGTGACATCTGTAGTTTAAGCCACTTTGGTAGCTGGACCATGTGCCACATTAAGTAACGGTAAACAAAATACTGACTATACTTTTGAATAGTTGAAGCAACTGAGTGTAATCCCAAGAATCATTAACTACATATAATGAGGAAAATCACACATAAAGAGATTCTGCATTAGTAGAATCTCACTGGATGACTGATATAACTTAAAAGGAAATGAGATAACAGATTATGCTCACCCAACTTAAAGCAGAATGTATCACTAATAAGTAATGTATATATTTGAAAACATATATCAAAGCTCAAATATGGGTCCTCCAGAAATATTTCAACCATTTTTTTTACTACAACCATTTTTCCAAAACAATTTTGGGAAATAATCCCCTTAAAACCAAAAAACCAAAATCATAATTTAAAAGTCACATCTTGTTATTTATTCAACAAATATATATCAAACAACAAATATTTGTCTAAAACATTGTCAGGCCCTAAAGATATACATTCTATTAAATACCCTCACCATCAACCCTCTCCGTAGTTTTAGTTTTGACATCTGATTTTTTTCCTCAGTATCCAGTCCTCCTTCCCCCAAAGATGAAAACTGAACATTATTCAAAAGCACATGACAGAGAGCTGGCATGAGTCTCTCATGAATGTAATGCTGACACATCTTGTTTCTGGATATACTGGAAGTAATGCCAGTAACACCTCATTCTTTATCCCACCCCACTGAATTTTTCTGATAATAGATGCTTTGCTGAGCTATAAAAAATTTGATTCTTACGCATATTCTAGCAAACATGACTAATCATTTCCATAATCATTTAGAATTCCTGCAACGAGCATTGGTTTATGCAACAGAGCTTGCATGGAATTATTCCACAGTCTGCTGACTGCCTCTGGTGCTTTTTAATGCAGAACGTATGCATTCTTAACTGGTTCTGTGAGTTAAGCACTATAGGTGCTATGATCCTCAACTTACCAGTGATGAACTAAAAACTTAAAAAACTACAAGTAATTTCCAGATGATATTCTGCTCTTCTCCATACTCATGAATGAATCTTCCGTAAGTCCTGAAGGTGTAGCTATTAAGATAACCATAGAGTATTTATCTTATGTTGACAGTGAGATAGTCTCTCTGACTATAACCTGTCAGCCAGCTGTGCCGAGAACCCGAAGTTAAATTATTCACTGTGCGTTGCCCAGTGTGTGACGAGAGTGCCACGGAACCACAGAATTACTGCCCGTTAATTTAGGACACACTTGGGATTATATGATATGCTTATTACTACTAAAAATATAAAAAATATCTATTGATTTCATAATCTTAACATTTAGTATGTCTACTATTTGATGAATTACACTGGTTGTTTTTTATAAATAACATTAACCAAAATAACAGCTAACACTATAAACCACTAAGATTTGGGGGACTGTTAATGTGGCATAATGTAATCATGAAAGATGCAGGTTATGAATTATGTGCTCACATTCATTAAAATTGAGAACGATTACTTGTAATCAAGAGATTGATGTATCTCTTATAAATCAGTGTTTCTCTCCTTGTCTCTCTCCTTTCCCCTCTCTCTAAAATATATAAATACAATCTTCAAAATATATTCTTTTCCTTTTTTTCTGAAGCACAGGTGGCAAACACAAGGCCCGCGGGCCGAATCCAGCCTCCACCTTGTTTTACCCGGCCCGGCACCTTGTTTCTAGCCAGTTGCAGTGCCGAGCTCTCACTTAACTGTTAAGGGGTGGTTACATTTATACGGTCCTAAAGTTACATTCGACCCTTTGAAGGCAACTGTGAGGCTGATGTGGCCCCCGGTGAAAATGAGTCTGACACCCATTACAGGATTATGTAATTTTGGAGATGGATGAGACATTAGGTGGGCACCTAGTTCAGCCTGTAGCTTATAGAAAAAAATTCACTGATTTAATCACGAACATGTACAGTGACTACCACAAGCTAGACGTGTTTTCAGGCTGTGAGAATAAGCAAGAACGAAAGAGCAAGAAGCAACTGAGAACACACACAGCTGAAGGGAGGTCTACTGTCCACGACCCGACAGCTTTCGGGCCAGATATGCTGAAAACTCAGACTTTTTGGGGGTTAGGCTTTCCTGCACTTCTATAATCAAACATTAAAATTTCTAATGTAAAAATGTACCAAAGTTCATACCAAATGGAATAAATATAGATGAAAAACAGCTTCACATCAAATGAGATCAGTTTTTACTCCCAAATGAGCACTATGGCTAATAAATGAAGTGTGATAAACTTCGGGGCTTTCAGAATTTTTTAGATTTCAAAATGTGGCTAATGGATCATGTTGGGTGGGTAAGTGGTATGGAGAAAAATACGAGTATGGCAGATGGGGAGTGTGTGAGTGTGTGGGAGTGTGTGTGCACGGGCACGTGTTTGGGGGGCCTCTGTGGTATTAGCCAGAGGTCCAAGGGGGTAAAGTTTGAAGACAGCTGGGTGCGGAGAGGAGAGCGTTCTCAGCAGGGAGAAGAGCAGATGCAAAGACCGAGGTGATAATGTGTTCGGTATGTTTAAGAGGGGTGACCAAAGTAACCGGTAGGCAATGAGGTCACAATGGTGAGTGGGTAAAGTGGGGATTCATCTAGGGCCCCAAGGACCACTGTATGGACTCTGGAATTTGCTGAGCGTCAGGGATTCTGAGGGGTTTTGGAGAGAGAAGTGATATGATACAACTGTTTTAAAAACAATTACTTGAGACCTGTTAAGAATATACTGGAGGGGACCAGGATGCAGGAAGGCACGTTGGGAGTGGATCTAAGTAAGAAATGACGGCAGCTTGCACCAAGGTAGTAATAGTAATTGTGGAAAAAAAGGAATAGGTGCTTGATATATATTGAAGGCCATACAGATAGGATTTGCTGACTGATTGGCTGGAAAGTATTAGAGTAAGAAAAAAAATATCATACAAAGGTTTTGATCTAATCAATTAGAAGACAAGACTTCTCATTTGCTGGGATGAGGAGGAAGAAATTTGAGGGTGGGCAGTGGTTGGGACACAGAGCTTAAATTTTGACATTTTAAGTCCGAGATAGAACTGGGCCATTTAGTAATACAGACATTAGTCACATTTAAGTTTAATTACAAATTTATTTCTTCGGTTACACTAGCTAACTTCAAGTACTCAGTGGCTTCATGTGGCCCAGTGGCTACCATATTAGCACAGCAAACATTTCTACCTTTGCAAGAAGTCCTACTGGGCAGCACTGTCCTATAGACAGTGTTTTACTGAGCACCTTTTTAGGAAAAGCAAGGGTGTATTCAAGGTAAACAAGCAGGACCCCTTACTTCGGAGGGACTTCCACAGAACGGAAAGAAGTGTTAAATACTGACACTAGAGTTCAGTATAAAATGTGTCTGGAAACTGATTTTGTTGGGGCAAATGGTATGTAACATGGCTTCTTCAGAAGAAGAGTCCACTCCACCCTGGGCCCTTGCCTCAATTTGTTTCTATGAAACACTAGGTCTGGCCTCTGTTGCAGGAGCTATGGGAACAAGATCACAAGAAGTGAGGACGGAGAAAAATCCTGACTCATCAGTCCTTTAAACGACAGTAGGCACCACAGTAGTGTGAAGCAGAGAACCTTCCCCTCAGTCTCCTTGATGTCCTCCTCCTCCTTTGCTGCTCTCTGACCTTTGCTTAGCTGTGCTTTAAGTTCTGTGCTACCTGGGGGCAGAAATATATTCTTTTCACACTTCTGGTTTGGCCTACTATAAAAGCAAATGCATTTTCTCAACTTTAACTTGGGACACAGGGTCTACCAAAGGATTTTTGTTCCATATTCAAATTTGAGACGCAGTTTGAACACTGAAATAACGACATTTCTTGGACAGTTTATGGAAGAAACAAGGCACACTAGTTGATATTGGGAATATTTCAGAAGCCGAAGGTATAGAAGGACCAAACACACAGAGTGTACTCTTGCTGGGCGGTTTAGCCAGTTAGAGCCAATTAGGTGTTTCAGTCACGGTGTCACTTTTAGTTACTGTCCCTTACAATCTCAGAATGTGTTCTATTTCTACCCCCTAAATATAACCTGTTAAGGTCGTCAAAGATCAGAGGAGACAGTCTTCTTTCCACACGGCTAGACACATTAAGCATTGTTTATCAAATTGTGTTAGCTCTAATTTGATTGGATTGCTTAGCAGCACTGAGTTGGAAAATGTTAGCAGTCGTATTTGTAGATTGCCCACTTGTGTACGTATTTTTATATCTTGATGGTTTCCTAAAGTAATTTTAGTTTTCAAGAAAAACTAAAAAACCAGTAATCCCAAATCTGGAATGGAGACACGCAGTCAGTCCATATGCTGATGGTGTATACCTAAACTTTTACTGTCCTAAGTTCCCCAAATTATTTCTTACAGTAGAAATCAGGGTAAATATGATATAATTTATTTAGTGTTTAGACTAAATACCAATAAATCTCATTACAAGACAGATAAAGATTTAAGCACGTATCAGAAGCACACTGACTTTGATGCTGAGAAAATCTCACAGCACGATGAAAGCAAGGATCAGCAGCCCAGGCTGGCCGCCCGTGGAGTCATCTCTTTGATGAATTCTGAATTCAATGAAGTATTTATGGTACAGAAAAAGAGTGTGGGGAAGTATCATAAAACATCCACATTTAAGTTGTCAACTTTTCAAAACAGGTCTGGACTGAGTTACTGAGGAAGCAAAAGTAGGGTGTAGACTTAGTTAAAACTTCTTTTTAGCTTGTTCACAAACAAGTATAGTCTTTAGTCCAAGTGGAGAAACACACACCTGGTACGTCTGGGCGTTTTCTCTTTGCAATTCTGAGTAGAAAATGTGGTCATCACATAGACAGACGCAGCCTGCTAGCTTCCTCCATTACCTTGACTTTTGTATTTTTGTTGGTTTGTTTGTACTCCTGCCTGTGGCTTGATTCTCAAATATAACAGGTTTGACACTTGCTAATCCTAGTTTTCACTAAGCAGGAGAAAACACACACACACACACACACACACACAGCTGAATATTAAATTCAAATAAATTTTGTGAAATTTTTAAAAGGGACAATTACTAAAATAAATTGTGCAAATGATATTAAATAAAATGAAATGACTCAATTCTCCCCTCTTTAATAATTAAAGTCCATAACATAATATTAGTCCCAATGGCAAGAATATTTCGTCAGATGAGAGAGCCAGGAATCTCGGCACTGTCTGACATATTATAAGCGTGCTACATATGCAGCGTTTAAGGCGAAACCAAAAGAAAGCCTCTACATGTGCACAGGCATTGCCAACCTCCACCAGCATCTGCCACAATGCAGGTGGCGCAACTGCCTCTACAAAATGCCAAGGCGACTTGTTTCAAGCCTGAGCTAATCTGACGTGCCTCCAACGTAAAGGAGCTCGACCCAAAATAAACTCTTGGTCAGAAGCTCAGCGACAAAGAGGCACTGGGCACACAGTATGGTGCCAAACACATGGCCTCCTCTTACCACATGCTTGCTAAATAATGATGGATCTGAGATGCAAACATAAACTTTGACCCACATTACTGCTGTTACTGATGCAGGTATTTATGATGTTATCATGTTCCAGAAGGATTTAAGGCAACTAAAGAACATGCATAAAACGTGATACAGATAAACTGGGAGTAAATAAGAAAAGCTGCAACAGGGTAACTGAATAAGATGGAGCCAGTAAGCATGCCTGTGACAATTTCATGTTCCCTACACAATAATTTAAAAGACACCTTATCTTTCTACTGGAGAATGATGTTATTTAACTTGCTGTATTTTATTTTCTAAAAGTATACAGAATAAACAGAAATTAGGATTCCTTCTAATAAGGGGTCTGGGACCTAGGACTCTAGGCTTTGACATCTTCGGTTCCAGAAACCACTGTTTAGGATGAACAGCAGACGAGAAGGCAGTGCAGACTTTAGACTCGAGATGAGTAAAACCCGCAGGGAACCAGAGAAAAAGGGTCTGCACAGACTCACCGAAGTGCAGGGAACAGGAATAAGTAAAAGTGTGCTTGCGAGTTGTATTATGGAGCCAAATGAACAAAAACCACCAGAGATCTACAAAGAAACAAATGAACAGGACCCACAAATTACTTCCTCTCGACACCCAAGGAATTCACTTACCTATAGCTTGCGCTAAGGCTATTACAACCTCCTGGCAAGTTGTGACTTCAGTGACCCCGCAAACAATCCTCTGGACTCCATCCACCCACACTTTAAGTTCCATGGTGCACCAGCCAGTCAGTCACCCAAGGGCCCTGAGACTGGTCATCAGAGGTGTCAGGTCATGTCTCTGGTTATGGAGACATGGAGAAGGCAGTCTGCGTAGTCAGCTAAAAAGAGGAAAAGACATTTTTAGAAGAACGAATCTTAGTATTTCTTCCAGTAAGTAAATATTACATAACACAAATTTAAATGTGTGATAATCCTACCACCATTAATGACCACGTCCTTACTTATTCCAGAACTGAATTCAGCAGCATGCATGTAACCACAGCCACCTATCACGACACTGTTTCATATTACTATGATTTTTGTAATTGTAATTTTAATCAAAAAGTCCATTTTAATCATTGGGTAAATAAATAGATCTTAGATACTCAACGAAGCCCATCGCTCAACAGATAAGCTGTTTCTTTTTTAAGAAGTTATGTCATTAGAATAATTTCTGAGGCTAAAGAGAAATAAGGAGTTTCTGTGATTTTATGAACTGTAAGTAACTGAACCAGTTCCTCCAGCCTCGACAGCATTTGTAGAAGCAGTGCCTGACTCTACTGCCTTCTTCCTCTGTTGTGTGTGCCTCTCGCTGCCTCCCCGAGTGTGTCTTCACGACCAAACTCCAGCACCGCATGCAGAAGGCTCAGGTCCACAGAATGGATTGCTGAAGGAAGTGAATTCCTTTGATGGCTGACAGCTTCCCCCACATGTGCCTTCTCATTTATTACTTGGGATTTGATAACTTTCTTAAATTATGTTATTTTAAAACTATAAAACTTCACCTTTTGTTATACTCGCAGTTACCCCAGTGTTTGATTTTTTTGTTTAGCTGTTATTATATGCCAAGCAGAAAATTTCACCTTCTCCTGTAGTCAAACCAAATGCCTTGCTTTCTTCTTAAATAGAATGCTATTATTAGTTTTCTAAAAACCAATTACACAGAATTCTTTTTCCTGGGAGTACTGAAAATCTCAACTCTTCCTGCATTAAATCTTTAATCAACTATGAGTTTTGACCATTGTCGTACGCTTGTTCCATTTCTTTGTTGTTTCTTTTAAATATAATAACACTGACTTAATTAGAGAGAACAGGAATTTGTAGGTTTACAACAGAACTGGTGTTTTGAGATTAAAGACTTATTAAAAAGTTTATTTAAAAAACACTAAACATTTTTCTTGTAAAGTAGTATTTACTACAAACAGTAACTTAGTAGTCCTTGTACATTCTCTTAAAGGACCTAAGACCATTCTAGGCCACTGGTCATCTGGGAAGATGAGTCAGAACACATGTGAACTGAAGGAGGATAAACCTAATAATACTCCTCCTTCCTCCAGAGAAGATACAAAAATAGTTTTTGTCATCCTGAAAACAAGGGGAAGGACCGACTGGATATTAATTTCCCAGTTCTCTCCACAGTGCCAAACAGAGAAAGCCCTGTGCCCGACAAGCTCACTCCCGCGCTGTGCTCCACAGCTGAAGTCCTGTGAGACGGGAACTTTTCTGGGGAAAAAGGGTTCCAAAACCAAAGGATGGCAAGAAATCCAGTGAACAAAGTCAAACAAGTTCCTTAACATGCAGATTTCACAGGGTGTTTCTCCTTCTTTAAATAGGCTGGTGTGCAACCTGCACTTCAAGTAAGAGCTTGTACATGCTACTGTCCCCAATCTATTTAGAGAACATTTCAGGAAAGGGAAGAGGAGTTATACCTTAACACTTGTTTCCTTCTCTCCTAGACACTCTACTAAAACTAGGATATGTAATAGTCTTTCTTGGAATAAAATTAAGATTAAAAAATGGCCAAGTGACATATATTGTATTAAAGTAATATATTAAAATTAAATTAATTAAAATAAAATAGCTAAATTAAAAAAAACTCAGGTACATTAAAGTTTATTAAATACCTAGTCCCTTATTTGTTATTCACAAAACTTAAACTTGGGAAACCTAACGAGAAAGATGGCAGATCTCATTAAAAGCCCCCCTGCCCACGAAGAAGCCTGTCATTTCCAAGAAACTCATGAGACTCATTTCCAATTTCTATAAAGGTTCCAGTATACACCACCTATTTTCCTACCTAAATGATCAGTTTCACCTTGAGTTTTTAATCAAGTGAATGCAAATGAACACAAAGCACAGGCACACCTGTTAACTACTAATGTGGTGAAACACTGGGCGTAAGTAATGCTGCTTCGTTAATATAAACGTGGAGGGCATTTAACCACTCGCTCAGAGTATTCCTACTATGGATCATGGCAGAGAAAACTAGCATCCACGTTTTTAACTTCACTTATCTCTTTCAAACTTGAATCCTTAAGGAGGGCAGGGAAGGCCTAAATGGATCAGATCAATGAACCTCAGGGTCCAAAATTTTATTTCTAGCAGGGCCAGTGTTTCCAGTACATGGCTTGTGCCAAGTCTGGGGCTGTGTTGCCGATCATCTCTGGCTCCCCTGAACATCTGGGCGTTACTCGGAGAGTCATTTGAAGAGTCTCTGTCTCCTTTCCAGGAGCTGCTGCCCCTTCCCTTCCTTCACACCTTCAGGAATCCAACCCCCCAGTTCTCCTCCCAGCCCCAGGACTAGACTAGAGGGAAAAACGAAAGCCTACACTGTAGGTGCGTGCGATGGACTGGTCATCATCGGAACCAGGCTCGGGAAGCAAAAAGGCTTTGGAATGTCGTTGGCATTTGGAATAATTCTTTCCATGGAAACAGTATTCAGGTGAAAGTAAGGTTCCACTGTAAAGGTATAAATATGGGTGAGTTAGTGTTTTCATGATGAGGTTCCTATGTTTCCAACCACGATCATTTTAATAATTTTGACAGTGAAGAACTAGGTTTACTAAGTAACATGGTACTGGTGAGCAAATGTTCTTAGCTAAGAAGCATTTATTACCTCAAAGGCCTATCGGAATTAAGCGTCTGCACTTGTGGAAACGTACTCCCCTAAGACCAGTGCGTTATTAATAAGCAATTACAGTCAGTCCTCTGTAGCTGTGGGGCCCTTACCTGTGAATCCACTCACCCACTAAGATTTTTTTGTAACCCCGAAACCAACACTGGTGGCACATCCAGAGTCACTTACGACATGTATGGATATATTTCACAGCAGCGAAAACTCTGAGCCGCCTGACCCTTACGTCCTTCCCAGCTGAGGCTGGACAAAGTCGATGCTCTGCCTTCTGGTTTCTGCTTTAATACTGTCAACAAGAGCCCTCACCTGTCTATTTACTGGTTTGTTTTGGCATTTTTACGGTTCTTGTTGGTTATTTCACTGGTTGAAATGGCTGCCAAGCACTGTGCTGAAGTGCGGTCTAGTGTTCATTACGTGCAAGAAAACTGTGATGTGCCTTGTGGAGAAAACATGTGTTACTTGTTTGTTCAGGCACGAGTTACAGTGCTGTTGGCTGTGAGTTCAATAGTCAGTAATATATATTAGATAAGGTATCTTTAAACAGAAAGGCATATAAAACAAGGTGATTCATTAACCAGTTGACAAAACTGTTGTGACCAAAGCCTCTCGTGAATAACACGACTGCATATTTTACATACTGTAACTTCCTGTGATGGCAAGTGTCAAACTGCTGAGTAAGTTCCATTGCTCCACAGACACTAGATGCCAAGCATAGAGGAAGGTCATTGCCAATTTTAACATTTCCTTCATTGCTAGTTTTTTTGTTTTAATTTATTTTGAAAGAGAGAGATGAGACGAGGGAAACATCAGTGTGCTGTCCCCCTTACTTGTGCACGCACTGGCTGCTGCTGCTTTGTGCCCTAACAGGGGACTAGACCCACAGTCCTGGCCTGCCCAGTCGATGCTCTAACCAGCTGAGCTACCCAGCCAGGGTCCCTTCATTGCTAGTTTTGCTCAAGATCTACGGATATTGCAAAACCAGATTACAGATAAACTGGGGTATAATAAAATCTTCACAATTAGAGTTATCTACAGTACTTTAATTAAATCAAATAATGATGCTAACCACTAGTTGGTTTTTTTTTTTTTTTGGCATAATAGAGAAAGATTCAGCACAATGAACGTGCTATATTCTGAAGAGTAATTATTAGAACTATTAATAATCAGACACCAAAATTCTTCTTTGTATACAAAACCGGTAAAAGAATAAAAGATAAAGGGAGTTTCAGTTACCTCATCCTAAAACTAGTCTGATGTGCGAATTAAATAATGTTGAAGAACTGTTTCCAACTAAAAAATATTGACATTTTAACATTCAAATAAATGACTAAGGTAAGGAAAAAACGTCTGTGGGCACCGGCTGCCTGTGGAGGTGGGACCGGACCTGAGGACGAAAGGACCGCCTGCAGGACCTGGTGGGAGGAAGCGCAGTGCGGGGGGCGAAGAGAGTGAGCGAGTGAAAACACATTAGGTAGGGAGGGAGGGGGTGAGAAACCAGTTTTCTGGAAAACTGCCCCGGAATCCAGTCCCAGGTTACCTGTCCCTGAACACTCTGGGTCTGTGTTTTGGAAACACTTAAACATAAGGTGCTGCTAGCAAACTCATTACCTTGCTACAATGCAGTTCTGCAAATGGTGTCACAGAAAGCGAGTTGTTATAAAAAGGTACAATGTTAAAAGTGGGTGCTAAGGAAGATGATCCTAGTAATACAAATAAGTGCCTCCCCAAATAAATTTTTGACAACACAAGTCCTATGAGATGCACTGTGGGGAAATAAGGTTCTAAGTCCAACAGTTTGGGAAACATTTCATGACACCATCTCTGGGAGATGGTGCATAGCAAGGTCAAGGTTCTGATCCCCTACAGTAGAGAAACTGGCTACGCTTGGTTGAACTTACAGTGATTAGCACAGAGGTGGGGTGTGAAAGGCAGGTACAATGCCTATGAAACATCCCACTGAACTATAGGGCGGAAATGACCAACTTTTGGAAAATATGCCTATACAGTGGTACCTCAGTACTCATTGTTAATTCATTCCTGAACTCATGACGAGTGCCGAGACCTATGAGTACCAAACGATGAAGCATCTTCTCCTGCACGGAGGCATCGTGACTCAAAGAATTCTAGTAAGTGTGGCTAGTTCCGAGCAAGAATGAGTGTGGAAACCATTTTTTCTCGTCAAAATGAGATGAGTACAGGGTTTGA